GGGTGCGGGGCAGCGGGTCGCCGGGGAAGAAGCACATGACGGCGGCGCCATGGCCGGCGGCGACGGTGATCCACGAAATGGCGTTCTAGCGCATGAAACAGGGAATAGAAGGCACGGGAGGGGTCGGCAGCTCACCACGAGTTGATGGGAGGCGTTCACGGCGTTCGGGACGGGTTCCAGAGGCGAGATCGACGGCGGCGGAGCTCTAGAGAGAGAGAGGACACGCGGGTGAGGTTGAATCCGAGCATGGGGTCACCAAATCAACGAGATGAAGGTACCTTTGGCTGCGGGGAGGCACGGCGGAGCTCGGTGTCACGTCAGCGTCGGCGATTGAGGCGTGGGCGGGGGAGAGCTACAGCGGCGGTGGTTCTCGGCTGCGAGCAGAGGATGGGAGAGGGAGAAGGGATGGCGCAGGGATTTATAGGCCAGGCGGTGAGCGCTAGAAGGAAGGAGAGCAGGCGGATTTGGGCGAGATTGTCCGCTTTCCATAAGTGGCGACGGCGGCGGGATTTCCTTGCCGTGCAGCGCTGACGGCGGCCGGAGAAAGGAAAGAACCGGGGAAAAGAAAGGAAGCTCGGGGAAGAAGAAAGGAAAGAAGGGAGAAGACGCTGACGGGTGGGGACAGTGCGCAGAGGAGAGGACGGGCGCGGGGTGCTTCGGGTGAGAGCGCGTGAGGCAGGCCGAGCTAGCGGCGTTGTGGGCCGAAGTGCCGATGCGGGCCGCACGCAGGCGTGCGGTAGTGGGCCAGTGCGGGCAGGTGTGGGGCAGGCCGCCGAGTGGCTGGTGCGAAGCAGGCAACGCGGGAAAAAGAAAGGGGGAAGGGGTTGGGCCAAAAAGGGAAGGAGATGATTTTTTTTCAAAATCAAATCCTTTTCCAAATCTTCTTTTTTTCATTTCTAAGCCAAATTCAAATAGAATTTGAATTCAACTTCAAATCAACTAACCCTGCATTCAACCAAAAACAATATGCTCCGGCATGAATACAACAAACATGTTTCTAAGCCTTATAGTTTATTTTATTTATCCAATATTTCTTATTTAGCCTAAGTTAAAAAAATACCTAGAAAATGTAATAAGGCTAAGAATTAATTGCTAATTTGTATTAAAATTTTAAGGTGTTACACCATCGGTCGCAGTCAAGCAAGCAAGCAAGCTCGGGACTGTTGATCGGCGGACTGACCTATCTATTGGACGAGGGGCGCTGTCCGACGACTGAATTCGCCGGAATTGATGGGGAGAGCGAGGAGTGCTACTAATTCTTGTATTTACTCCTGATGAGACTTGGGATTACTGTGAGAAGGCGGGAAATCGGGTGCAGGGTTTATATAGCCGAAGCCGGGGCGTCCGGGCGGTGGCAGGACGAAGAGCTGCGTTTGCGTTGTGGCGACCGCGTGCAGGACAAAACAGAGGAGTCGGCGTTTTCGGCATCGGAGTTGGAGAGCAAAACAGAGGAGTCAGCGTTTTCGGCATCGGAGTTGGAGAGCGCGTGGGTTTCAGCCCTCGGGTTCTCTCAGCTCACGTCTTTTTCTCCCGTTGTTTGTTTTTTATTTATTTTTTATTTTTATATATAAAAGAAAAAACTGGACGTTTCAAACTTCTTTGTGAAATGATTTGGCAGATTCGATTGATGCTTATTCTAGCTTACCATTGTGGAGTTACCTTAATCATACTTTACTAATGGTGTTTCCACCTATCTTATGATCTGTTTATTTATCTTTATAAGAGAAGGTATTTTAGGGCCATTCACAACATTAGTTGGAAAAATTAGATAGATTATTGAACACTTCATATTCTTTGTGAAATAATTTTGAGAATTAGACAAATAGACCATTTGTTTATCAATGATTTAATGCCAACCGCAGCATTACACGAATCCTATATAACGTGTACATCTAATAAAAAATAAATATAAAAAATGTTCTTGAAAATCTTTAGGGTGATCATTATTTCAATATGGGCAGTTCCACGCTGTACAATTTGGCGAGAACAGTATAGTTGCATTTGACAAGAACTAATATATATTACTCTCTCACTGCATGATAAGCATATTATGATTAGAAAAAAAATCATGTGAAATAGATTTTAATTATTAGTTTCTCTTACAATATGTTACCTTTTGGTAAACAATCAATATCATCTTAGAGCCATTTTGAATACAAATCTTTTGTCCTAAACTCTATACAATTTGACTAATCGCTGGTCAAAATTTGTCAAGTTTTGATCTTTTCCTATACAAAAATACATTTATAATTCTAATACAGAGGGAACAATATTTAGCAGCCATTTTCACATACCCCGTTCTAAATTATACTTCATTTTGGCTTTTTTAAGAACATACTTTTTTATATGCAACTAGATATATATTATGTTTAGATATATAACAAAAATTATATATCTCGAAGAGCTAAAGCGATTTACAATTTAAAATGAAAAAATAGCAATTAAATTTGCATGTCCTTTGATTCCCATGTCCAAAAGTGTCTAGATATATTTTATGTTGAGATATTAAGATACATAACAAAAATTATATACCTAGAAGAGCTAAAACTACTTATAATTTAAAATGAAAAAATAGCAATTAAATTTGCATGTCCGGTGATTCCCATGTCCAGAAAGTGTTACATGGTCCGTATTTACGAAAACTGTATACCCCGGTGTATGGGGTCACTTTTCCTTTGGCCCGTGTGGCCAGTTATATTAATAGAATAGCAAAATACCGAAAATCCCTCTTTGTTTTGACCCGGGTAGCCATTAATCACGTGGACATATCAGGAAGGGAGAATGGCGGGCTGGCGGCCTCAGCAACGGGAAGATGCGGCGAGGGAGGGTGACCCACAGGCCCCATTTGGTCAATCACGCAGCCATCAAACTTGAAGTTAATTTAACTGCTAGGTAGCGTGTTAAATGCGTTGCTACGGGATAGCTAATATTTTATATTTAAAATACACGGATGCATACGATAAGATAACAATCTTTGTAAAAATTAAATACCAATGTTAAAGTGACATTTAATTCAAAAAACAAAGTGTGTGAAAATTAACACAAGTCACGGAGAGCGCGGCGTCGCAGGCTCACAAACTCTACTTTATAGGTCTTTTTAAAGTGATGTTGCTAAGATAATATTTTATATTTGTAGGAAGAAATCTCCGATATCCATTTCTTTCATCGTCAACAAATTCATGAATAAGTTCCGCCGCATCTCCATACCATCCTGTACACATGTTTGAGTATATATGTAAATATTAGTGCCTGTCATATGGGTAATACTACACTATCTTATCTTGTTTGTAGGTGTTAGTCTTGTCTTCCAATGGTGCAACAGAACAATTATTTTTCAGTGTAGAAATCAATAAGGGGTCATTTGGATTAATAACTTGGAGCAAACTAATACAGAAATGATCTATATATTTCTTCCATACATCAACATCCTGTCATTGAGAAAAGGTTGCAAGGTTTGTGATTTAATAACCTGGAGCAAACTAATACAGAAAAATGGTTATCATGGTAAATTCCTGCTGCCTCCTTCTTGTCAATTAAACAGAATCCATTGCAAGTTTCTTTTTTCGCATCTAAAAGATCAACTTTATTTTCTCTCAATTTGAATAGAAGAGTTATCTTGCTCTCTTCATGATGAGGACCTTGGTGGTTCATCAGCAAAACTTGGACAATTAGTAGACAAAGCTGCCCTAAATCAAGTCTGTAAAGCAAAGTCATCAGATACTCTCAAGCATTCACCTGATGATGAATAGAAGGGGAAATAGTTTATTTACAACCCAGGCTACTCGATGTTCATGTTTTACTACTTAAAAACGTATTCAGGAAGTGCTTTGACTTTTGAAAAAAAAAGTGGTGGGCATATGTGGCGGTTTGCATACATCCCCTGACTCTCAAATGCAATCTGAAAAAGGAGAGGCATGGAGTTGGATACTTGCTGTTGCATATGCATAGCTGAAACGTATAGGGAACAAAATTAAGGAGGTTTCCTTTTGGTTCGTCCGGCGCGAGGTTTCCTTTTGAACGCGCACGGGGTGGCGAGGTTGGAGCCACGGTATCGCATGGACAGAAGGGAAGAACGACCCCAAAAAAAAGTCGCACAAAAAAATTGTCTTACTTTTATTCTTTTTAGTTGTAGGAGATAATAGTGACTCGACAAAGTATTTATATTGAAGTCTAAAAGGGGAGGCACCAAGGCAAGTCAAAATGCATATAAACCATAATATTTGTATTCAAATCAACCTCACGTTTCTCAGCTCCTTTTCAGTAACACAAGCTATGTAGCTAGCAAGTAGCAACATTCTGAAACTACAATGAAGTGTTCAGAACATGAGATTGTTTCTCGATAAAGAATTGCAAAGAGGGATTCCTTGAAGGATATATACCAATAAAAGAGCATGGCGTATTTGATTCTTTTCCTACTAATTGGGCTATGCACATTCTGAAACTATTATCAGTGATGTGCTAAAGTGAGCTACTAAGATTCTTATCATTGCCAGATAACTCTGACAGATTCATGTATATACTACTTCATAGTGACTATAATGGCAAGGTAGAGATCTGGCTTTTTTTACTCAGATAAGAACTTGTGACATTTTTTTCGATAAAGGAAGAAGAACTTGTGACATACTACTAAGCATAGTTAAGTGATGATCACCATGGCCAAGAAAAGCATCCATGACAAGTGCCCCGGACACCATGGCCACACTGATCAAGCTGAATTTAGGCGATGTCTGCGCATCCAAGAGTGTGAAGAGTATGAGGCCAATGACGAGCATCACGGCTGATCTGTACTCTTGGAATGGGTACTTGCGCCTTAAACCCAGGATAAAGCTAGGCTCCCATTATCATCACCGGTAGAACCTGATGAGTGATGATGACTAAACAGAAATAGATTAGTACCTCTCTACTATATGCTTATCTCCAATAACTAAAAAATAAAAAAAAAGATAATTTTTTGGTACGATTTTTTTTAAGTCACTTCTCCTTCCCGGCCGTGCGATACCATGTCCCCAGCCGCCCGCTCCCTCCCTTCCCCTCCCCTCAAATCACGCTCCATCCCCTCCAATCACGCTCCCTCCCTTCCCCATGCGCGCACCCAAGCCGCCGCCGCCTCTCCCACGTTCCCTCCCCCTCCCCACGCATTCGTCCACACCTCCGCCGTTCCCCTCCGAGCCAGCCCCGCCCGGCAAGGCCATCTAGCCGCGTCTCGCCGCGGCGTCTCCTCCCTGCTCGCTTGCCTCCTCGCCCGCCCGAGCCGCAACTACACCGACTTGCGATCAGCGCGCTGCGATAAAGGAAGGAATTACCATGAGAATGGAAGGGCTGCTGTACCACGAGGTGCAGGAGGGGAAGCTCTGCGCCATGCACTGCGTCAACACCGCCCTACAGGGCCCCTTCTTCTCCGAGTTCGACATCTCGCCGCGCTCGCCGTCGACCTCGACCAGCGGGAGCGCCTGGTGATGCTCGAGGGCTGCCGAAGCCCCGGCGCCTCCAACGCTGCCACAGGGGACTTCTTCACCGTGGGCGAGGGATCCCACAAGGTCTCCTCGACGGTGATTTCAGCATCCAGGTTAGTCCAGGCCATCTAGGTCCAGGCTTCATGGAGATTATACATTTAGGTTTCTAATCTAGGGCTCCGTTAGATCGACCGATACGTAGATCACACAGCTTATTCCGTGGACTGGGTTGCAAGTTGGTTGTATGTTCAGATCGCTGCTTGGAATTGAGGGGATTTTTGCTCGAGCATTGCTGTTTGGAAGTCGTCGATTGCCTCAGGTTGACATGGATGATGCCCACCAAGTGTCCAAGCGTTTGCTGAAATGCCCTCAAGGTAATAGTTTTGATTTCTCGACGATTTTTAGTGAATTTGAGGTGGATTCCATTGTTTCCTTTCCTTTGGGTCCGAACTGGAGTGACAGCTATGTGCTCTCAACTTTTTCTTCATGAGTAATCAATCATGTGCTATTGCCATTTAAATGAAAGAAAATGCAGATATGTTGTTTAAGCTCTTGCAGATCAACTTGCTGCAGAGCTGTTGAAACTTGAGAGGCACTTGCAGACATTTTCTCACAGGAAAAAAATGAGGTTGTGGGATGTTACTTGGAGAAATGGTATCTGAATTTGTGTTGCTTTCTGTTTCGAGTTCTGAACTTTCAACTTGCAAATGCCATACATGCTAAAGTGGTTTGGGTTGTGCACATGGGATGCATTTTACACCAATCTTACTATTGGAAGACTGAGGGAAATACTAAAGATATTTACATACTGATCCATGTCACATTATAAGTATACTCTGACCCCTACATATATTTCCTTTATTTTCAGAGGTGGAGTTTTTTTTTTCAGAGGTGACAATGTATATGTCATTATGGATCCTGCGGGAATTGCATGCTCATTTGATAACTCAGCCAAGTAAGCAGACTAAACATATTACACTTTATCACTCATACTTATTTTTTTGTACAAAATGTAAGTAGTTTCAGTTCAGATTCTGTACTTTGCCTGTTCTGTCTATTACCTTTGCAAACAGGTTGACTCATATAGTCATATTAAGGGGAACCACAAATTTCAGAAGATAGGTATGAGAGCTATAAGCTATTTCTGGGAGAAAAAGTGAGGCTACCTGCAGTTGTTTGGATCTCAATTCTCACGGTAGAAACAAATTGATGTTGCTAATCCTTCACTAAAATAGGAAAGCTAAGCAGATTTCTGGTTAAATTCCATTGCAGGGATGAACCCTTTGTAGTTATTACTTACGAATGAGATGGACATGCTCCTTTCTCTTACCTGGTTCAACCTCGCTCCTTTGAAGTTCGATCGATCGTACTGGAATACAGGATTGGATCTGTGGTATAGGGTGTAGTGTTCCTTGATGTTGCACTAATCAGGATTTTCGTGCAGTGCAGGTGTTTGCGTATTTGCTGCGGCGGTACGTTGCCTGCGGACGATGGAGGAAGCCGGTGATGAAGATCGGCTCAAGAGGGCGCTGTAGATGCATGGTCAGGACTCACGAGGCTGTGGGGTTCCTCATGTTTGCTAAGGCCAAACTGGGCGACAATGCTTACAAGGAGCTCGTCTAGGCAGGCACGGGACATTGCTGACCAAGGGTATAGACATGTATTATAATAGTATATCTGCACTCTACGAACCATCCATTTTGTTCCTGGTTACATATGTTCTTCTCTTCTGTGTTGCAGTTCAAATCCTGAAGGTGAAATCACAGTACAAAAATGCGAAGAATTCCTATCTCAGGTATTTGTTGGCCAAACTCACGTCCTATAAGGCTTCAGTCACCTCGTCGAAGTAGGTGATCCCTCCCAGGATGACCACCATTCTTTATAGGAATCACTCTCATTCACGGATAAAGTGAAGGTGATGTGCACGTCTGCTCCTTGCTTGAGGTATTATGGCTTGGTGTCCATGGCTGCTTTTACTTGATGCGCATTTCTTTACTTTGTGTTTGCAGGCGTCATCCATATCTGATGAAGATTACGAAGATTTTTTGGTCACCATATCTGAGTCAATGGCAAAAAAGATCACTGATCAAGAGACATACCTAAAGGTTTTTGTTTTTCTTGGTGGTTTGTCGAGAACAATTGGACAGTCGTTTTACAACCATTTGTCTTTGTAAGTAAAGAGAGCTATGCGCCAGATGAAAATCATAGTGCAAGTCATAGCTTGGATGGTAACGAAGAAACAGGTACTCTGTGGATCTCCGACTTCTTGCAAACATCTACAAGAGGTGTGTCAGTTTTCCCGAGAAGTTTGTTTATATGTTTTTTAAAGGTGGGCGTGAGCTCCGCCGCAACCTCGCCCTCTCCTTCCCGGCGCCGGCAAGCCACAGGCGAGAGGAAGAGCTGCTACGAGAGGATATCAGTTCCCTCCAAATGATAGAGCCCTTTAGTTTTATCGTAGCGTTAGCACGCACACACTACTCGACAATCAAGTCCGATTCTTTTGATATAGTTCCTCCAAATGATAGAGCCCTTCGATACTTCTTGTTTTATATAAACCACAGAGATGAGTATGTATAGCTGTGAATTAGTTTTTTGGTATTTAACTTTATATTGTTTCAAAGGATTATAAATTAATAATAATGATATTGTTTTGGGTGGGTGTCGATCCACTCTGCGGCAATCTCCGGCAAATCATAGATCATTGACATCCTAAACGCACAGGACATAATGGGTAACTAACTCAGAGTCACGCTTGCAATAATAATACCTATGATTTAACTATTTCTACATATTGCTGATAGTGAATTTTGCCACAGACACTTAAGTGGATATCTGTATGGAATAAACCAAAAGCCACACATATTTATACGGTGAGTATAACACTTTGTTTTAAGTTTTTATAGAAGATTTTTCAAGAGACGCAGTATTATCCATACGACAAGCACTAATATTGACATATATACTCGAATCTGTGTATAGGATGGTACGGAGATACGGTGGAACTTATTCGTGGATTTATTGGCGCACGAAAAAAATGGATATCGGAGATTTTTTCCTGTCGATATAAAATATTATCTTAGCCGCATCACGGAAAGGTCTATAAAGTAGAGTTTGTGAGCCTACGACACCGCTCACTCCGTGACTACGTTAAATTCATAAACTTTGCTTTTTGGATTAAATATCACTTTAACGTTGGTATTTAATTTTTACAGTATTTTTATCTTATCGTGCTATCCGTGTGTTTTTAGTTCAAAATGTTAGCTATCCCGTAGCAACGCACGGGCACGCTACCTAGTTATTATGTAAAAAAAAAGTAAGAAATGTACTATTCGCGGGAAAGGTAAGCATATACAGTTTGGTATATTAAGTTTCTGCTCAGAATGTTTCTTTGTAGTTATATATCATTATCTGAACATTCACATGAGTTTGTGTTTTATCGCATATGACAAGAAAGTAAAGTGCTATTACTATTACTAATACATCGTTTTTTTCTTGAAATTCAGTCACTTAGATACAGAAATCAAATCAAACCGTAGCTGCCAAGAATTTTTAAAATAGACACATCAAGTAAAGAAGAGTCCAAAACGTGCTAATCATATCTATCAACAATGTTACCTGCCAATCCAGTTATTGTCATTGTAGCCAGAGAAGTAGTACTCGTACCCCCTAAAGTAGAAAGATACATGACATAGCTGGCTAGTTTGGCACCTAACCAAAACAACAAATCTGATGCTGGACTTTCATATTTGGACATTTCTAGGTACACCAGTGCACCCTTTCTTTAATAGTTGTGCTAACTGTCTTAATGTTTCAGTCTTTCAAACTGCATTGTAATATCACAAGAACTATATTTCTTTTTCTTTTTCCTCACAAAAAGGAACTGTATTTCTGCTAAAAACCAAAAGGAACTTTGCTGCTACAGTGCTACTCAAATTGCTAGCTGAAAAAGACATTGGACATTGTTCTTCCAACATTTTTTGAGTATTACATTTTCTAGCGTATGGGGAACAGTGAAAAAAAAAGAAGGGGCCAATTTTACCTTGGTTAACTTAAACATGATTTGCACAGAGTAATTGAGGAAGGCGAGTGAGGCCATTGGAGCCTATGCACGTAGGTCCGCCACGGGTTCACCATCTGCTTCACGAACCCCTGCACAAACGTGAAGTACCAGCCGTAGCTACAGGCACATGGCGAAACAATTCAGAAACATTTGGTTTTGACGCCAAAGAATTTTTCAACCAACAGGTCAAACATTTTATAAATTGGAAGATACTTGACATACAACTGAATTTATCTGTAAGACCATACTTTGTAGACAAGCGAATGTAGTTGAAACGTCCTAGCTGGCAGAGGAAAACAAGGATCAGTGCATTAGAATCCTGTAGTATTTGCCATTTCCGAGTAAAAAGCTCACTGTTAATAGAAACTCTACACCGAATAGCGACAAGCAGGATACAACTGACAGACTGATCTGACAAAAGCTCATTGAAAAAGAAATCTACATGGCCAAAATTTTTTGAGACAAACCTGAAAACAAACATTGCATTTGCTACGCAAACATTGCTTGCTCCTGCTCAGAAAAAAAGAAAAACAAATTGCTTGCTTGCTCCCTGTTACTAACCCTTCACAACAAAATTTGTTTTGTACTGATCATTGTATCCCATTTTTGCTTTTGTTTGAACCACTAAATTTGTGCAAATCTCTTATTTTCCCACTTTAAGAGCTACTCAATACTCATAAGTGCCAGAGCTCCATTTAATGAAGCAGATTGAGCAGCTCACGTTGTTGCAAAAGAGTGAAAAATACAGATGGAATCGCAATCTTTGGTTACCCCCGATGGGATCCCATCAGCGATCTGCCAGAATGTGCATCGAAACAATCGAATCGAATCGGCAATGACCCAAGCAAAAATAATTAAAAAAGATTTACCTATATCAGAGTGGAGAGTCTGGCCGGCGAGGGAGCCAGTGCTTATTCATCGAGCAGCTAGCAGGCACGGATCCAGATCGCCGTCACCGCGAGCACGACGATGGCGGAGCGTGACGCGGCACTCCTCCTTGCTATGGCCCAGCAGCGGCCGCCACGAACCGAAGCGAAGCTGCGAGGGAGATGGCGACGGCGGAGGCCAGCCAAGAGCGGCGCACGAAGAGGGCGTTGGAGTGGAGCAGGTTGAGATGGGCGTGGCGGCGGCTGGGTCTGCAAGGACGTCGGCACATCCGTCCGCACCTCCATGGATTCGTCCTCTCCACGGAACTTCCTTCACTTCCACAGCCCACAGGAAAAAAATCGGAGACCAGATGAGCACACGAACCTGCACCTCCCGCACGGTGAGCGCGGCGTTGGGGCCTCCAGCTCGGGCCGCTCCAGTGGCTCCCCGTCCTTTCTCCGCACCACGACCTCGCCTGGACACCTGCTCCTCGCCTCCTCTGCCGTCCTTCCCGTGCCGCCGCGGCGGCGCGGCGCGCTGAGCGAGTTTGCCAGCGCAACGGGGGCGGGGAGGCGGTGCCGAGATGGAGTCCCGGTGGGGAGGCGAAAGCCAGCGTGGCGAATGGAGTCCCGGTGGGGAGGCAGCAGGATAAGCGGCGCGAGCGAGGCGCCTGAGCGGCGCCCTTCTCCGTCTAGGCGCTCCGTCCCTCGGAGCGATGAAACAGCGGAAGAGGCAATCGCACCCGCGAGGCGTAATAGGAGATTAGGGCGTCTGCGGTATCGCAAGGAGAGGGGGCGGCGGAGGAGCGAGGCAGCGGGCGATGGCTGCGCTGATGGGATCGCAGGGCCCTATGGGATCGATGGCGAGGAGATATCGTGACCGGAAAGGAATGTTTTGGAGCGGAGATTCGGAGTCGCGTGGAGGTGGGACACACGGACGCGAGAGAAGAGCGACAAAAAAAAAATCGTACGGAAAAATAGTCTTACTTTTGTTCTTCTGTATCTTCTCTAAACTTTCACTTCTGGTCTTGTAGGAAACAAGTTAGGATAAGATATCTTTGATAAGATTGATACAACTAGGCTTAATGCTCTCCTGAAGGATAGTTCCATCACATTGGATGGAATTGTAAGTTGAAAGAATCTTGTCTTACTGGGTTTTAGTTGCCCATTCTTTCAAGCTTTTTAGTTTTGCACAGATACTTAGAGCAACTGATGTAAATGTATTGTTTTTTCTGGTATTTTAGTTTGTATAAAGGTTACTTGTACCTACAGCTCAACTTAATGCAAACAAGTAGTTTGTCAATGTTACACAGTTGGTCATATCTTCAATTCTTTTTACACCTCTGATTATTAACTTCCAGATAACAACATGTAAGCATTTTTATTATGCTTCGTTCATGTGACTACCATCATGTTAAAATGGTCTAAGTGTATATGTACTTGTCATGGATTTTTAAACCAGTAGCAACGCACGGGCATTGACCTAGTTGTACAAAAAATTACAATATTTTGTTTCCTGTATTTTTGCTAATGTCTTGCTTATCTTTTCTCAGGCTCTACATCGTTTGGTCAACATTCTACTTTTGCTAAGAGTTGAATGTTCCGTGAAATAAACTGCTCCTTTTTTGCTGCTGGATTTGGCGGAAGAAACAGATAATGGCTTTTGATGGAATCGATAGGATGAATTTCATTTGTTGAAAATACCCAGCAAAACTATGTCAAGGTGCTTGTAAAATTTGTAGAGTTGCTTCATTTTTTGGTATACTAAACTGCAAATACAATGAATTATACAGCTATATGGAGGATGGAAACTAGAATACAGTATTGGCAGAATTACATGGATTTTTTCTTTTGTTTTAAGTTCGATGCTCTGTTTTGCCGATAAATTGTGTCAGGTTCTGTTGTGCAAGTGAGCACTGTCACCTAGCCGTCACAATGCTGCAGATTATGCGGGAAGATAGTAGCGTGAAAAACAAACCAGAGCATTTTTCCTGCCTGATAAGTTGAAGCAAGGCTGCTGGATAGATTCAGCGCAGAAAAAGTTATTCTCCTCTTGCCAATACTTGGTATACATCTTACAACATCATCCAAAGAATGAACAAAAGGAAGCTACCAAGAAATCCTACATCACAACCACATTTGGACCCTTAGTTTTGCAATTTGCATAAACATATGAACGAATTGTCCCTGCGCCTTCAGGCTGCGCCACTGCAGAGGTGGGCATTGCCGCTGCACATGGACGGGTTCC